AACAGCTGGGACAAAGAAGTAGGAGGGCTAGCTCACAGACACTCCGCACACACATAAATACAAACACACAACCAGGTGTGCATGTTCATTTTTTTTAAGTTCCTGGTGGTTGCTAAGCCCAGGGGAAAAATACATTGTAAGAAAGAAATTAGGCTGCCAAAGTGACACGAAAAGGCAGCTGTCCCCCAAACAGCCGGGATGGGATTTTTCCAACCTAAGACCTGGGATGGCATTTTTCCAACTTAAGAAACCTGATGTTACTAGCCATTACTAGAAGTGGTTAACCAGGCTGGAAGTATGGCAGGTGGAAGGGTACCACTGTGTTGATCCGGCAAGCATGCAGAAGCACCCCAATACCTTTCAAAGAGCATCTAATATTTCATTAGGCACACGCCTGGCCTATACCTACAGCAGGGATGGGCAGGGGGTAGGCAGGTTTTCCTTTTTATTTTGTATTCTTTATTAAAGAATATTTTATCACTGATTTTTTTAAAGATCTCAAACCACTTTACAATAAAAACCACTTGCTAAAATAATAAAACAATAACACAATTCATTAATTTCTATAGTTAAGTGCCAGGGAAATAAGCTGGAAAATAGTCAGGCAAACTTACTACATGGCCAACTTATGGACCTAGGATGGAGCAGGGGAGAGGCACCTCTCCATATTTCTTTTTTATTTTGATTTTAGGAAAGAAAACATACACACCTATGGACGTTATCACACGGGGTCTAAAGCAGACAGAACCCCGTCCCATCCCCGTCCCATTGCAGATCCTTTGCCCTTGTGTTCACACAACGTCACAGAGAACCCCCTCCCATCCCCCTCCCATCCCCGTCCCATTGCGGCATCATCCCCGTTCTTTTGCATGCCGGTTTCATTGGGAATTACATTTGCGCGACCAGAAGCATACCGGAATGATGCTGCTTTCGTTCATTCCGGAATGATGCTAGTTGCTAGAGACCCGTGTGTGAAAACGTCCAATGTCTATGCACCCGCCTAGTGCATAA